GGAAAATGTTTGGATATGTCTGAAGTTCTAAAACCAGTCATATCAGTTGTTAACTTCATCAGATCCACTGGGCTGAATCACCGACAATTCCGCGAGTTTATTCAACAGATTGGAGAAAATGATTTACCATATCATACTGCCGTACGCTGGCTTAGTTGCGGAAGTCCTTAAGAGCTTTTTTGAACTTCGAGCAGAGATCGACATTTTTTCAAATGAGAAGCAGCGCCCTTTTGCCGATTTAGAAAATAGTGAATGGATGTGGAAGTTAGCCTACTATGTCGATTTGACAAATCATATGAACGAACTGAATTTGAGATTGCAAGGAGAACATCAGCTTCTTCCTGATTTATACACCAATATCAAATCCTTCAGGCAGAAAATAATACTATTTCAATCGCAATTACGTAAAAAATGTTTCACACATTTTCAAACATATGAAATATCCAGCCACACTACAGAGACTGAATTTTCCGTCAATTTTGCAATCGAAACATTGAGTGCCATGAAGATAAATTTTGATACTCGTTTTTCAGATTTTGATGTCATTGCGATTGATATTAAGCTTTTTCAAAATCCTTTTGATTCTGATATTGAAACCCTGGCTCCGGAAGTGCAAATGGAAATTATTGATTTAAGGTGCAGTGATATGCTTAAGAACAAATATCAAAATTCATCTTTGTTGGAATTTTATAAGAGTCTTCCACTGGAACAATTTGATAATTTGCATAAATTTGCTCGTGGGTTGTTTTCTGTTTTTGGTACTACTTGCTTGTGTGAGAAAACGTTTTCCAAGATGAAGTACACTAAGAATGTTTACAGATCTCAATTAACCGATGAGCATCTTGAATCTCTTTTGATAATTGGTACGAGTAAAATTGATCCACAACTACAAAGTGTATTGTCGGTAGAAAATCACAATTACATAAATCTCATCAGTGTTTTTGTTTTACTGTGATTCATTTCAATTATTTGTTAGTTATTAATATGCTTAATAACTTAGATACTTAAGTTAAGTTTTCTTTGTCATCATTTCTGTCGCTTGCAAGTAAATAAAACCGAGTAATTATCATTCTGTGTTTTCTTCTTCAACTTATCACAGCAATACTAACAACAATCAGGTAATCATTGGCTGTCGCGGCCCAGATTGATGACAGTAAATCATTGGCTGTCGCGGGCCGGATTGATGACACTGGCGGGCCGGATTTGGCCCGCGGGCCGTAGTTTGGAGACCCCTGCTCTATACTAATATAAATGTGAAAGTTTGTGAGGATGGATTAATGTATGTACGTTTGTGGTTCTTTAACACCTAAACGACCGAACGGATTTAGATGAAACTTTACATAAATACAGCTTATACATCAGAATAACGTATAGGCTACAATTAACAGAGGTTTTTTGTAATTTTGGTCATAATATAACGATAAGTATCGAGTAAGTCGGAAAAATTCTTGCTCCCTGAGAACTATCTTGGCGTGCGCTGCCTATACCGTTAGAGTTACATGAAGATAATGTATCGTAAGATTGTTTATTTCAAATACTCCTGAATGAAAATCCACGATAGCATATATCTACCTCTTATGTGGTAGCCACTATATGCAAAATACTGAGCCATAAATACAATTAAATTGGATATTGTTGTTCACAATGTACATTTTAGAATAGCTGTGAAATTCTTATAAAAATCGATACAATTGTCGTTTAAAGTATTTAATATAGACAAACTTTGTCTTTTACAGTAAGTAGTTTGGCCGAAGCCTTCAAAAGTTATCACGAAAAGATTAATTTGACGCAACGCAGTGTGCTATTACGCGTCGCGTCTATTGTAAGACGACGGGGGACGATGCGTGGGGGTAGAGGAGCGGAAATCCCTCTATCTTTCTCTTGGAAAGCTTGGCAAACTGTTTGGTTTTTGTCTTGTAGATTCATTTTCTCACATGTAGAGGAATTTGATAGAATTTTCGTATTATTTCTCTTTAACACTACACACGTATTTCGTTTCAATAAGGCAGGCCACTCTCATATGTTTTATATTATATTTCGAAAACTAATGAAACTGTTTACTGAGGCAAAGTGAAAAATGGTAAATGGTCACAACCAGACTAATAGTTTCGAAAGACAAACATAGTACAAATATAAGTTATACTTCTTTCAAACGTCTCTAGCTTTGACGAGGAAGTGAGGTACTATAATTTCAAAATAGTAGATACTCAATTCTCAGAAATGACCTGACATTTTTGCCTTAATCTGTTTCTTGCAGTGGCGTATGGAAATTATACTAAACAAATGAGAAAAAAAAGATGAAATATATAGAATAACAACCTTGACAAAAATGTTTTTGTTTCAATGCCTACTGTTATGGAATTGTACTATAGGAGTTTTTTTTTTCATCATACGAAATACATAATTTCTGTGCATCCAAAATAAATCTTTGTGATAGTGAATTCAATACTTATTTCGTCACTGTTTTTTTTATGATTTAATCATGATCATCAATCAGCCTTAGAAAAAGTGATGTCATGCTCATTTTCCTTTACGATTTCAACAGCTGCGCTAGTCTGGCAACAAAATTATTTTTTCTGTAATTTCATTTACCGTGGTACACATTAGAAAAGAAAGTTAACAAATATTGAAATTAAGCGACGCTGTAATGTAAAACGAAGCTCATTTGGCTCAAGGATCATAAAATATATTGAGCATTTTCAAACAAAAATCTAACTCGTTAAGGTTTCTCGAAGTATTCAAATATTATTAGAATCTTCATATCCTTCTATATTTGATAGGCAGAACTGGAACAACTGGCGTGAAATGAATTCATTCAAAATACTTTTTTTACCCCAGAACAAAATACTGTCTCTCGAGGCGTGTTTCGGTGTCCAAGTTAGCATCTTCAGCTGACTTCGTTCGCAAAAGGTGTGTTGAGAGACGGTGATTCTTTCTGGTGGGGAAAAATGTTTTCAATAGATTCACCCCTCTATACATTTTTCCTCATTGCACACAAACATGATCACTATACAAGAGATAGAAAATATTCGGAGTTTTTAATCGAGAAAACTGCTAAAGCAGTAGGCCAAAAATCATTTTATTTCACATCTCCAAAATTTCATTCATAGGTTTCTCAATCCATTAGAAATAATAATTATATTTGTTCATTCAGCAAAAAATTTGAGTTCTGACTCAAAACTCATAATTGACAGTCAAGAACTCAATAATATTATTCATCAATTATGATTCCGTCCAACATCAAACGAGATAAATGGAAATTAGTATAGGTAAAACACATAAAAATATCACTTTTGAGAGAAATTCTTATATTACTGATTTTATATGTATTCGTATATGTTTGCTTCCAAAACAAATTATAAATATCTAATAATGCATCTCTAGCGATAAATATTTTTCTATAGTATTGAATGCTTTACCATTTTGATACTTACCTGTTTATAATTATTATTGAATTATTATTATTATGAAGTGAATTAGGCATTTCAATAACAAGAGTTTTCTTCATAGGTACTGGTAATTCAATTCCTATTGCATATACAATATTCTAGAAAAGATTTCGATCGTGAGAAACTTCAATCACTTGTTTTTCCAAATACATAAATGATTTTTTACCTGTAAGATTATACAGAGTGTTAATTTGAGAACTTCCCATCCTTAATATCTTCCTTCCAGTAAACAATATGAGGAATCGAAAAAACAGGTCAGTTCGGGTGATGACTGTCATCACCCGAAGACGATTGTAGATACCAACAATCGAAACGTCGTGAACTAACGTGACTTGGAATCTCTACACTTTATTTTTATTATTTTCTTTTTTGCATTCCTTTAATTTTATTTATACAATTATTATATTTTTACTTGTAGGTTATTTCACTATCATTTCATTTCAGGTTTATTGTTGCTTAATATAATTGTTATTTTCAACTATTCTTTTTTTAATTATTCTTTTTCTACTTGTTTCAGGGATTTCAAATCATTTTATATAGTAGACAATGGAAGTCCGAACTAGTGAAATTCGTTGGAAAAAATGTTATGCATTTTGTTTTAGGTAAGTTCAAGCTCAATGAATTCTCATTAAACCACAGTCGCACCTTCTCTAAATCACTTTTTGCAAAACATTTGATTTCATTCCAATTTTTACCGGTGAAGGTCAAAGCGGTATCGTCGGCATAACAAATAAGGTGCCCCTTGAAGTCTCTGATTTTTGACAAACTTCTTATATAAATGAGAAACAGTATTGGGCCTAATAGTGTCTCTTGTGGTACTCGTCTCTACAATAAGCAATAAGCTAATTTAACGACTAATTTGTGATGCGAAACGGTATCGAAGGCCTTGGCCAGGTCATTCAAGGGTTGGAAATGTGCCAGCTACTCTTCTAACAATACAATAATGCATCTCAGAACAGGCAAATTCTAATTACATGTGTAAGTTTAGAATGCTATCTTTCGGAAGATGCTCATCAGAAAATGAAACGTCAGGGTATCGTTGGGAGCAGAATTGAACGCCAATCAGAATGCTGTGCCACTTAACACCCCTTCCCATTAAAGGTTATGAGGGTAACATCTACCCCTCCTCGGGGGTTGAACCATGGGGGCTACAAATGCTCTTTGAACGTGTACCCTTGACTATAAAATTCACCTGTCTTTTTTCATATGTCTGGAAGGAAGATATTAGGGGTGGGAAGTGTTCAAATTGACATCCCGTATTATATTAGAGGTCAATATCACATACAAGCTACAAGCTTCAGTGATCTTCATGTTTACTTTCAAACTTTTGGTTTTCTGATTTATTTTTTGTAAAATTTCTAGAAATGAACATTATTGTCATTATAATCTGAAAAATTACCAAAACTAAATCAATAGAGACTTTGCTGAAGTTTAATGAAGGTCAAACTGTTGACATACGTCAAAAGAAATATAGCCATCTACAAGAGAACTTTTTCGGTTTTGAAAATAGAATGGGATTGTTTTCTAAAACGTCGACCATCTAAAGACAACTAAGCATAAAAAATTTATTTTTGCCATTGATCATTCAATTTTTTCCAGATTTCATTGGTAGTTACTTGTTTGGTAAGATTATCAAATTCCACGTAGTAAAGGCTACATCCATCAATTTATTATCGAATTTCATTACAAAATTTGTCTCTCATACTGAGTTTCATATCCTTGTTAACTGGTGATTGTTCTGGGAATCACACTGAAGAACTATTTTCGTTTTGATCTTTCTCCGTGGAACAGTTGAGACCTTGGAAAGTCTCTTCGTTTATAGGCTCTCTTCCAATGTTGAAAAGTTGGAATTAGTCGAATTTCCATGTTCGAAAGGAAAGTACGTTCATATAAAAGATTGGATCTTTATAACACCAATTATTTTCTCAACTGTTATGTTAGTTATCGTTCATTATATAAAGGGAATTGGCTAGTTTAGGCCCCCAAGCATGAAAATGAGAATGTTCAACAGCACAATTGAAATATAACCCAACCTAATCTGACCCATAACCTAACCTAGTACTAATATTGAAATAATATTGTATTGAGAATATTTAAAAGTTGAAATAAAGCAGTTGCTGAACCTAACCTAACCTAACCTATATAAGTGCGCCGGTACCCAAACTAGGCAATTGCTTATGAATCATAAGGATATTTAGAAATAAAATTAATTCACAAAGTCAGGTCAGAGCAGTTCTTCCAATACATCTCTTTATAGATCAGTTCCCATCCTTCAATAAATTTCCTTTGAATGCTTCTCTTCCTGGTAATATAAATTCATAGGCAGGTTCACCATTCTCAACCACATATATCGAACCGTTTCCGGCCAGTTTGATGATTCTCACTATTTCTTTCGAAAGATGATCTAATCTGTAACAAAGCAAAAACAATTCAACGATTCACGATTGGTAAGTTGCAAACACAGTAATTTTGTCAATACGATAAAATTTTCAGATAATGTCTAAAAAAGGAGAGACGAATGAAATATGAGCAGTTATAAATCATATGCGAAGAGAAAACATTATTATAGGATTTTGCAAACACCTTTACAAGTATTTGTAGAGAAAATAATAACAGATAATACGAGAACGAGAATGTTTCCTGCTTATAGAATTGTTTTTCTGATCCTGAACAATATATATTCAATTGTTTTTTATCATTTTCGATGATTTTTCACTTCAATCACGTAGTACGACATTCATCCCATTTCTCTTTTTGTTGAATATCTGCCAAATTTTTTTCAAGTTCGTTCATCCATGATTTGCTTGTCTGTCTGTATTGCAGTATACATTTTTTGCATTGTCTGTAGATTGGATTAAAGTGCCCTATTTTGTTCAGGTCACTCCTCAATTGACAAATTTCTTCACATCGCTTTGTGATTATTGATGTTCTCACTTATATTTCTCCAATACTTTATATACTTTACTTTACTAATGATTCAAGTAACTATATTTTTGATTGATGTTCAGAAGACTCATTACTACTTTGTTTTCCTTTGTTGCCTGATTATCGTATCAGAATCAATCCATCTATTTTCGCCGGTTCTTCCGGTAACTTTTGAATTTCCCAAATCAATCTTATTGTTACTCTTGAGTTTATGCATGCGATTTGGCTGCCTGTCTCTTTTTATCTCAAATCAATGATCCTTACTCATGTAGAATGCATAGATTTCCGTTTGGAACACGGATGTGGATCTTTCGTCGTTCTTTAATTTTTACTCTTCGTATTATATAATATTCACCAGCTTCAGTGTTTTTTAGAATTTCAAAATGTAATAAACGTACCTTTGTTCCGGTCCTCCAAAATTTATGAAATTTTATTACGTTTTCATTTCTGGAGAAGAATGGTTTCAGGTCATCTAATTCTCCATCTTTATACAGAAAATGAGACGTGTTAATTAAAAAAAAATAAGTAGTTATTTCAAAACAGATATCCTCATCTTCGTTAAGTCTCAATATTTAGATGAGAATCTCGTGAAGTTATTGCAAATCGAGGTCGATCGCCCGGTTCTTCGGTGTCGATATTTTCTCAGCTGGAAAACAGCGTTTCAACCACTGTCGGACCTTTCGGCGTTGATGTGTTCATGTTTAAGTTGGGCTAGATTAAACAAAGGTATGTATTGCATCCAGGCTCAGAGATATTTGAAAAAGGTGGGAGAGAGTAACTTGCGAGAGCCACGAAATGAATCGGTCACGAGAGCCCGTCGAGACGAGTTCGGTGGAGGTCTTCCCTCAGCCTTCGAGGCTGAGGATGGTGGCCTGAATAGGGGTGTTTTTTTAATGCGTGGTGTGAAATTCAAGGGAAATCAGTAGCGATATCGTAAGTAGGTATTGGGTACAGATAAGTTAAAACTAAAAGTATTGGTGTTGATAACACACCGGATCGACGGAACATTGGAGTTGACTACCAACCACCGAAGAGGTGTTTGTTTTTCTGTTCATATACTAATCAGTTGATATTGAGAGAGAGAGTTCACATATTACTTCGTTTGAGTTCACTTCTTTTTTGTTAAGAAGTAATATACTATTGGGTTCCTAGTGTGAGTTGTTTGGCTAGCGTTGAGATTACAATTGAAAATGGAAGCAAATTTTAGGTTATACACCACTCTCCCTAAAGTAAAAGTAAAAGTATTCTGTATTGAGTTGGTACGTTTCTGGAGGTTAAATTGGCGGCATTTGGTTCTATTCTATTTCATTTTATAGAATTTAATTTTTTTTTATGAGATTCTACACGTTTTTATTTTTGTTTTGTCCATGGCGTCGTTGTTTTACTCATTCTACTCAGTTTACTTTGAAACCTCGGACTTTCATTTTCTCTTGGACTGAAAAAAATAACAGCCTCGTAGAGTGAGATGAAGTTGAGAAAACAAAAATTAGAGACGTTATAGGCAATCTGTTGAGATGAGACTAGTGAGTGAAAAGTATCTAATTAAGACTAAAACTCAGAGTATACTCAGCATCGTTATAGAACCATATAGTGAGAAAGACCTATAAGTAGGTATGCAAAATGATCAGGTTTCAAGAAGACTAGCCTTCGTACGATCGGCATGAACCCTTTTCAGCCTTTTCGGAATTGCTCAACATCCAAAAATTTGAAGTGGAGAAAATGCGCATCTGGTGATAGCAACTGCTAAATTCAATTCGACAAAATATTCACGGCATTAGCGAGAGGGGTGCAACGGGTGACAATTAGCTAAATGAATTTTTTTTCTAAGTGTTGATAGACAGGGTGTTACTTAAGTATGTATCATAAATTCAACAGAATATTCTTTAGGTAATTCAAAGACGGAATGTATATATAAACATGGGTCCGCAAATCCTTCGTTCTCAAGATACAGGGTGTTGAAATAAAAAAAAATGTTATTCGTAAATATCTCAAATATCCTTCACCTAATTCTGTTTTAATTTGGCAATGGTATTTATAGCATTAAGGAGCTGATTTAGCTCGAACGTGATTCAATTTATTAAGTCCAGTGGCGTCTCGAGCGGGATTTGAACGAATATTTTTGACTTGATAATATACGCCACTGACTTTTGTGCAATTTCCATCATTTCTTTGGATTAAGCTATTAAAAATACAACTGTTTTGTCTCTTGATTTTTTTTTACTTTCTTGCTTAGTTTTTAAGAAAAATAGTCGACCTAATTGCATATCCCTGGACCTCAAAAGGAATAATATGGGGAATTGAATGTTTCTTTCGGAAATTATCATTTTTACAATTTTTCATTACTAATTATGTAACAATAACAACAAATATTAAATAACATTTACATCTAGACTAACGAATTGCACTAAATTAAGTGTTGGAAATGGCCGCCTTCGGCTTCAATACAACCGTCCAGCCGCCGCATCATTGAATTTCGCACTCTTCTGAAAATACCTGGCGTATTTTTCATAATGTCACATGAATTATTGATTTTATTCCGTAAATCCTCTTCACTTTGAATAGCAGTTTTGTATACCAACGATTTGAGGTGTCTCCAGAGAAAATAATCTAAGGTATATATTTCGGGCAAGCGAGGTGGCCATGGATGTGGGTCTGCTCACCCAATCCAGCGATTATGGTAATTTTCATCAAAAAATTGCTGTGCCACTACACTAAAGTGTGGTGGAGCACCATCGTGCATGTACCACATACGGAATCTTTTCATGACTGGAATTTCTTTTTCTAGAATTTGTTTTACCTAGACGTATTCTTCTCCATTAAATTTAGGTGGAAGGAAGTGAGGTCCAATAAGATGGACACCGACAATTCCAACCCAAATATTAAAAGAAAACTGTTCTTGAAAATTATTTTCTATCAGGGCGTGTGAATTATTTTCGGCCCAATGTGATTGTTGTGGAAGTTAATAATTTAATTGTGAGAAAGACAAGCTTCATCTGTAAACAATATTCGACTTAAGAAATCTGGATTTCTTCTTATTTGACCGCGTAACCAATTAGAAAAAGCTTGTATTACAGGCAAATCTCTGGGCAATAGAGCTTGTACACGTTGCATATGATAGGGATATAGTTGCTGGGCTCTTAAAATCTGCCAAACCGTGACATGGGTAATATTCAGTTCTCCAGCTATTTTCCGAGTACTGGTATGAGGATTTACTTCAATCTCATTTGAAAAAAAAAATATTCGTGTTCAAATCCCGCTCGAGACGCCACTGGACTCAATAAATTGATCCATGTTCGGGCTAAATTAGCTTCTTAATGTTATAAATATCATTGCCAAATAACAACAAAATTAGGTGAAGGATATTTAGGATATTTACGAATAACTTTTTTTTTATTTTTATTTCAACACCCTGTATCTTGAGAACGAAGGATTTGCGGACCCATGTTTATATGAACATTTCGCCTTGAAATTACCTGAAGAATCGTCTGTTGAATTATTGGTACACACTTAATCAACACCCTGTATATCGTAAATCCCGCATTTGGCAAAAATAATCTCCTTATGATGCACTGTTTGGAACCTTTGGTGTAGTAATGAATATTACTGGAGTTTTTTCCCAACACCAAATCGTTATTTTTAACACCTTGATACGTGTTTCGATCACCAAGTGATCATCTTCAAAAGATTTCAATTTAACATTTAAAAAAATCAAAAAGATTATAATCTTACTCTTTGAAGATGATCACTTGGTGATCGAAACACGTGTCGAGGTGTTAAAAATAAAGATATGGTGTTGGGAAAAAACTCCAGTTATATTTAAAAATAATCTAGCTGAAGCCTACGCTATTACAATTAGATGGATTTGTGATCCAACACAAGACAGCGCTATTTCAACCCGCCAAGTTATCATCAGTGGTGCTAGGTTTAATCTCGTTCGGGGGTCGATTTTGAAGCTTGGCTTGGTTTGGCCTCGTTCATATTTTGATAATCGAGGATTGAGTCCTATGTCGATACCATAGATTGCGTCTTTGAGCTTATTTTTCTTTGAACATTTGAATAGTTCATCACTAATGATACCTTGTCGGGTCGAAACAGCTCACAGGAAGATGCCATCACCATTACAGGTGATAATGGTACCCAATAACTCATTAAAAACATGAAAAGTTCTTGCTATTATTAGAATACGAAGAATTACTACAGGGAGAAAAACGTTCGAAATGATAGAATTCTTCAGAAAAATGTTGAAAACATTTAAATATGCTTTAGAATATTCTGAAATGATTTTCTGAATGGTATTATGTAATATAGAGATTATCCTCAATTTTTCAACTGTTCATATATTTGAAATAGAAAAAAGATCCTCAATACATTTTCTTCTTGTTTCTTGATTTCCATACTTTCAAAATAGGCGCTAATAGCTTTGAAGTCAGAAATATTTGTTGATTTCAAATATAAAACTATTTCTCACTTTTGGCCTTGGGTGGATCCTATTTGGTCGACAGGAACTGGCCATCCTTGCTCATACTCCGGTAAAATTAAAGAATTTTTGTCTTGAAAAATGGTAGTGTCCGTTATTCCAGGACATACTGCTACAACTCTGACACTACTTCTTTCGTAGTGGAAAGGGGTTCCCCAACATTTCGTGAGTCCGACCACGCCAAATTTAGTTGCAGCATAAACCGGAACTAGTGGTTGACCAAATAGTCCAGCAATAGATGAGGTATTCAGTATAACAGCTTCTCTGCCTTGTTTGTGATTCTTCAAGTAGTTCTCCAAACCTAAAAGTACTCCAGTTACCTCTCCTTTCTGAAAAAAGGTATACAATAGTATAGTATACTAGTATAAAATAGGTATAAAATAGTACCTTTTCAATCAGTCGATTGATTGGAAATAATTTCTTGTTCAGATTCACATAACAATAAGTTTTTTTTAATGATATAGTTCTCTCACATTCATGAATTGAAATGGTCGAAAAGTTGAAAAGCACACAAAATTATTGAGAAACCCTGAAAATCATGTCTTGAGAGAAGAATATAATTTATATAGGAATGAGCTGAACAAGCTCACAAAAACAGCAAAAAAGAACTACTCGAAAAAAATTATAGATGAAAATGCGAATAGCTCAAAAGGGCTTTGGGAGTGTGTTAAGAATATTTGCAATAAAACTCGAAACGAAACCAAAGTAGAAAAAATCAAACTGGAAAATGGAAAAATATTACAGAACAATAAACAAATCGCTGATATTTTCAATTGCCAATACAGTACGATAGGAAAAAAAATAGCTGATGAAATTTCAGTACCTCACAATTTCAATGAATCTGAAAATACTCTGCAAGACACCATGTATCTTCCCGACACTGATGAAAATGAGGTTCATAAACTAATCATGGAATTGAAACTTAAACAATCTCAAGGTCCCGATAACATCCGTTCGAAAACACTGAAGGCTATATCTATTAAAATGAAAAACATTCGGTTCACTTGATAAATAGATGCTTTGATACAGGGTGTTTTAAATTGAACATAACCAACTATAGACCGATTTCACTCATCTCAAATTTGGAGAAAATAATTGGAAAAATACTCAAAATGAGACTTCTGAGCTTCTTGAACAAACATAACATCATTTCTAGGTCTCAGTTCGGATTCAGAGAAGGAAAGTCAACAGAAGATGCGATCTATTATCTTACAAGTAATATTTATAATGCATTGGACAAAAAAAACCTGCCTTATGTATCTTTGTCGACCTTTCAAAAGCATTTGATACGGTAATTCATGAAAAGTTTCTGAACAAACAAGAATGCTACAGGATAAGAGGAAATATTCATAAAATCTCAGAAAGTCACTTATCAGATCGCAATCAAAAAGTTAACATAAGTGGTACTCTAAGTGATCCTCTGACTGTTACATATGGCGTACTTCAAGGAACAGTACTAGGTCCTCTTCTATTCATAATGTATATGAACAGCATTTCACACCTTGATACGAAGAGAAAAATGATAAGTTTCGCAGATGGATTTAAAAACAAAAGCTGAAACTGATCTTAGTAAAATAGATAAGTGGTTTAGGTATAACAAATTAACTCTGAATTTAGATAAAACAAATTACTTATCATTTACTTCTTATTCCAATCATTTACTCAATATGGGTTCATTACGATTCGGAAATAACTTAGACATTGTGATAGACAGACATCTGAGATCGAATTTTCAAATTAAAAATATAGTAGGAAAACTGAGAGGTTTTTTATTCAAATTCGAATAGTTGAAAGAATTTTTAGATGTAAATCATTTGAAAACATTATACTATGCTCTGGTACACTCACATATATCTTACGGTATAATTGGCTGGGAGGTGTTAATGACTGTCACTTGAAAATGCTCAATGTTATTCAGAAATGGATACTGAAAATTATCCTTGGAAGAAGAGGTACATACTCAAGTGAAAAATTATTTAAAGAGGCCAATGTATTTGACGTAAGGCAGGCTTACTGCATCAACTTATCAGTTAATGTCAATAAAATACAACTTGAATCTGTAGATCATAATTATAATACCAGGAAGAAACACAACAAGATACCTAGATCGGAAAAAGCAATTTGACAACAATGTTCAGATTACCTCGAACCTCGCCTACATGATATGCTACCAGAGTATATAAAAAAATTAAATAGTTCTATTATGTTCAAAAAATTTATAAAAAGTTGGATTCTGCGTTCCGAAAGGACATTGTTTCATGATTTTGTCAACCAAACTTTCAAAAAGTAATTACAATTAAAACACCAACCGTTTGTATATAGCATGTATACAAGCTGACAACACACAGAATATAAAAGAATACCTGAATATGACAAAGCCCAAATATGACTTACACCCTGAATATGATGTATCTACACATCAATTATTGCAAACACACCTACTACACTCGCCCTAAATATGTCATTTACTATAAGTATTCGAAAGGAGAAAATAATAAAATATGAAATAAATAATTATTTACATTTCATTTATACATTCACTAGTTGTAATTTCTTTCAACAAGATTATGTACTTATGTGCTCCAAAATGTTTATACCACTTTTTTGTCATTGTATACTATAGTGTTATACTTTTCAGTTTTGAGGTAAATATCACATACAAGCGATAGTTTTATACTGAAGCTTCATGATTTTTTCTTGTTTATTCACTTACAATACATTCACTTCAATTATTGTAAAATTTTGAGCTTTCATGAATGAACATTATTATTATTATTATTTTCCCCCGTAGTGTGCGCTGGTCAGGCCCTATCCCCCGAAGCCCCGATACATTCGGAAGGGCGCGCCAGCATTATCAACCAATGACCACTCTCCACACCGTGGGGTAAATGATCATTGGGTTCGAGAATCATGTGCCTTGAGCAAGCGCAGTGAGCCAAGAATGACAATTATATTTTCCAGTTCAAAAAAGATTTTCATCAACATGAATTTGGAATAACATCCTTGTCACCGATTCTGAGTAAAATTGTCATGAAGCAACTTACCAGACTGGTCCAAAGATATGGTGGAGATAAGTTGATGATGTATTCACTATCTGGGACCATAACCCAGGTGATATCAACGTTTTCTTGAATTCTTTGGATCCAAGACAACCCATGATAAAACTTACATTGAAAAGGGAAGTTCGTAATCAACTTTTTGTCTCGATGTTATGATCAAAAATCGATAAATACTCTTTAAACGAGTTGTTTATCTAAAGAAAACTCGCTAGCGTCAGAAGGTATGGTTTAGATGTTCATATGATAGGGCAAAGACAGTTTTCAATTCTGTTCATAACATGAAATAGGGAATAAGTTTCATTGAAACAATGTAAATCACACAATAAAGTGTTACTTGGAATACTTCATGGATTTTCATCAATTATCTGCCAATTCCATGACATACCATTGATTTTATTATTCTTTTCCATAAATTCCATTAAGAAATCATTGGTATGGTTTGAAATGGTTTGCGAATTAACTTATGGAATGATCACCTACATCAATAGTATTGATTTCTGGTGTCGCCCAGGGTAGTGTCCTAGAGCTCTTTTAATTCATTCCCTACGTTTATAATATCAACTTTGTTGAGGACTGCGAGTTTTATATATGGAAAAGAAAAGAAAACCACTCATACGGAGTGAGTGAAAGGGATAAAATATTGTTGTAAATCATGCCCTATAGAAAACAACGTCGGCCGCCACTGGTAGCCATAAACCAATCGTGACTGATGTGCTAAGAGCGCGCACAGTCCGACCGACTTTTCGCGAATGTTCGATGTTCGCTGCCGTTCTATATGTGGCGAGAATAATGTCACCGGCATCCATATAATTCGGATTTATTTTCTACGACCTTCGATTGCCTAATATAAACACAATCCACTTGCCCATCGAAATAGTCAAGTGGAAGTGACAGTGCGGTACGCGGAGCGATCTAATACGACGATAGACATTTGAATAATAGTTGAAGTGTAAGTTAAGATGTTTTGTAGTATTAATAGTGAAATAAAGTTGAGTTTGAGTTCAGGGTAGTGAATTATTAGTAAACCCACGGGGAAAACGTAAAATTTGGTGTCTGGAGTGGAATAATTGACTGAAAATTTTCTGTTTTTATGGTGAAAACAAGAAGTGTCGATTGCGCCGAGATAAAAAAACTTGAGAAAATGTTCGAGGCCTTGCAAGCGAGCCTGGCGGAGAATGAAAATCGCAACAGGGAAGAAGATGAACTCAGAAGAGATGAAGATGGTAAATTACCACTAGGTATTCAGGAATAACAGGAAAAAAATAAGAGACTTGCTGGTGAATATTAAAAAAAAAAAGGAAAAAGAAAGACTTGTTTTTTTGCTACTTTCATTTGTAACTAACGTTACTGCAGTTTCGTCCTATAAGGACATTCTCAAACTTATACATTAAACTAAAAATTATTGATTACACTACCCCTTATATAACACCACTGTAGGTAATAACAGAGGTACTTCACTCAATTAAGTACCTGCATTTTTGTTTACCTGTGAAAATTTCGGTACCCTAATTTGAAAACCGGTCAGTGAACTAAGTGGTGGAAACGGTTCAGGGCGTCTCTTCCATGTTTCCAGATGACGAAGGTGTCATCTACGTAAAGTAGCCACAAGGTCGGCTTCAATTCAAAAGTGTCTATCGCTTTTCCTTCAAACCGTTCCATGAAATAATTTGCTATCACTGGACTAAGTGGAATCCCCATCGCAATGCCATCTAGTTGCTCAAGTACCTGTACTTGTACCTGCACTTGTGCCTGTGCTTGTACCTGTACTTGAACCTGGAACATTAACAATCATGCTGCCTGTTGTCATTCTGTTCGTTATTCTCGAATTCCTCAAAATGGGGTTCCATATTTGATTGAGGTTCACCGCCTCTTTTTTTTCTGTTAAAATTATCCTTGTGTTTGTGGATCTCTATTGCTTCCCGTACCAGTCGCCTATGGTATCCCTGGTTGGGGGCAATTAGTTCTGTGTTTTCAAACAAAATTCTGTGGTGTCCTTCACTAAGCGCGTGTTCTGCCGCGAAAGTCTAAACCATTTTGTCAAAAACCTCTACGGGGAGGAAATTTGAAGATTATACAACCAACTGGATAAAGGCAGGAAACGTAAAACACACTTACTGGAAATATTGACAATTTCACGATAGTATATTCACATTTCCTACAAAAAATGCAGGTCCGCATTCGAATTTTTACCATATACCAACTCGAAATTAAATAGAACTGTATATTTACCCAAAATTTTTTAATTCGGGATACAAAAGTTGTATTATTAT